AAATTTACAAATTTTTGCCTTACCCCTCAGAAAAAACGCTAAGATCAAAGGATGCCGATGGGCATAACCCCTCAGAAATGGGTTTTTTGAACCCCCTCAGAAATTCTCGTCCATAGGGGGGTGTGGATATTAAATGGAATGGCCCATGTAGACAATGTAAAAAATGTAGACAATGTTTACAAAAAATGTAGATAATGTTTACCGTATGGCAAACTACATTATCAAAATATGTCACTAACCTGTGTCTCTCGTCGTGTCTCGCAAAATATCTCCAGATTCAGGCTTAAATGCCTCTTTTGGCAAGTAATCGTGAAAACAATGCTCAAAGTCCAAGGCGTTTAATTCAATATTTTCTGGTTCGCCGTATTGCACACCTGAATCAAAATTTAGTCGTCTTCGTACTGCTGTGTTCTCACAAGGTTCAGGTGCTGGCTTCGAGGGGAATAATGTTGGAATTGGACACCATGGTTTGGGCCCACTCTTGCCCACAAAGTGCAAGCTGCACACTCGTGTTCCAGCTTTGGCAGTAAAATCATTTCGTACATTGCGAAGTTGTTGTATCCAGCTGCTCGGTTTATATTTTTCGTCTAAGGGAATTCTGTGTAGAGTAACCTTTTTTCCCTCGACTACCTTTCCACTGTAGCTTTTACAAAGCGGAACACAGCAATAAATAACTCCCCTTGGAACTGCTTCATTCTTAATAATCGTTGTTTGTTTTGACGGCGGAGTACTAAAAAGCTCCGACCTTGCTTCCGCCATATTGAAAATTGGCGCCATGTACTTACCAGAGCCTCGCTTTCACGCGCGGCCACACGTATCCCGGGAAAGGTCTATTACTTATGCTCTGCCTCAGGCGAAAAGCCTTAACGTGCAAAGATAGCCGTTAATTAACTGTTTTCTTTCTGGTATCGCGAACGTGAATGCCCACAATGCGTTGTGTATATATAAGTTTATTTTGGGCCCTTAAGATTAGTAAATTACAGTAGATCTTACTGGTAATATTGCAGATCGCATGGTCATGCAATCTCGTACCCAGGCTTCTGCGCGCATAGTTCTCAACAAAACATAGACTGCGTAGCGGCTCTCGGGGAAAGGAGAGCCTGCACGAGATTTACTGTTTTGCCATTCCCGCCCACTTAGCCTGCGGGCTACGCCGAATTTCAACAGATGTCAAGATTGGCCAATCACACAGATTGTTTACGTCTGCAAATTTACTTCTCAAAATGAAATAATATAGATTGCTTTACATTTGCAAATTTCCAAACGAAATAATATATGGTTGTCGGCTAAAGAAAATTGAAGTATGTGGGAATAGCGCTAGAGCAGTCTCGATCGTCGTCATAAGTAGTTTGCAGTCCGTGTGCGAGAAAGCTACGAAATCTTGCGGATACGTACAAATTAGTTTCGACAGCGGTTAACCGTGGTATGAATATCAAGGTTTCGAGCGATGCAGGGAAGAGAAAAGTGTCTGAAACCGTCACTCCAGAGAGAGCAAGTCCTGTTTGTAAGCATTCACAGAAATTCTCTCCTGGCACAAATTTATTTGCTACCAAATCATCGAGAAAAAATCTATTTGTCGTCAATGAAAACGACATGCTCGTGAAAGAGATTCGGCTAACTGACAGCAATCCAACGAAGACACCACAGCCACTCTTTCTCTAGAGCTTTAACTTTCAACATTTCATTGTATTCCCATTGATCAATCAAATTACCTTCTGAGACCGTGAGACGGAAGTGGATTGGATATCCCAGGGCTCCTGAGAGCCACAAGCGTAGAAGCCCTGCATGTAT